GGCTCCAGAGAGTGCCAAGATAGGCAAAGAGCGCCCTCAAGTGGCTCGAGAGATTTCCAAGACGGCGTCAAGCGAGGTCCAAGAGCGCCCGCAGGGGCTGTCAAGAGTGCCGCCAGAGGCTGCCAATAGAGTCACAACATTGCGAAAAGTCTCCAAGGAGTCTTAAGATAGGCTGAAAGGGCCCGCAGACGGCCCCGGAGGGCCAACGGAGCCCCAGGACGCAGGAGGATGAGAGGCGGGGGGCTGCGTATCCGAGGCGGGACCCCCCCCCGGGAGTCGCCCCGGGACCCCCCCCGGGACCCCCCCCCCCCGGCGGGGAAGGGATCAAGGGAAGGGGCTTCCTTTCGACTGAAGGACGACGTTGTTCAATTTTTGTGAGGACTTGTTTGTGTAGGGAGCCCTCGGAAAGAAGAAAAAGAGGCGACGACGCTGTGGGGAAGACGGAAAAGCTTCTCCCACACGCCGACAGGGTCGGCGGATTTGTCCTCCAAATCCGCCTGTCGAAGGACATGCCCGACCTAAGCCTACGATCCAATCCGATGCGATTCGATTCGCAGGCGGGGCCGCGATTCTGGTTCGAGTCAGTTCGACTCACCTCGGCGGCCAGGGAGGGGGGCAACTGAGGCTAAGAAGGCCTCCTCAGAAGACGGCGGGACTTCTCCGAAGACACCTGGCCTCCCGAGGAGCTCTCTTTGCCTCCGGGGACGGCTCATAAACTTCTCAGTTCAGGCAGGGGAGCGGGACCTCAGCCTTCCGAGAAGCCCCGCCCCTTCTTTATAGGGGAACAAAGAGTGACATGAACATAAAAAACTCGGAGGTCCGCGCGGATTTCTCGGATCGGCGCTGGACCCCCCTCCCTGGCGCGCGGAGCGCGCCAGGGGCGGCGCCGGAGGCGCCTCTGGGGGCCCCCAGCGCCGATCCGAGGAATCCGAGGGAGGACCTCCGAGCTTTCTATGCTTATGCCACGTTTTGTTCCCCCATTCTCACCTCCCCCCCCTGCACGCCGCCGATCACCAGCACCTGCTGGCGCCAGCCAGAGCCAGGCGCGTCGGTCCGCTGCCGGCGCGACTCGGGGCGGGCCCTGACCCCGGCGTCAGGACGTCGTGCACCACGTCGGCTCCCGGAAGTGTCGGCACCTTCCCCGGCACTGGCTCTTCATCCCTCACCAGGCGCGTCCCACTGCTCGCGAGTTGGCCTGCTCGCAGACGTCCGAGAAGCACATGTTCGCCTCGACGTGACAGATCGTGGCGTAAGAGATCGTGGACCCTCAGCGGCGGATCCAGGCCATTTGCGAGCATTTACTTTGCGAGTAGTGGAACGCGTTCGTTTCATCCTGATCCGTTTTCTGATACCCGTGGCGTGGTACGGGACCCCGGAGGCCGAAAATAGTGAAGAGGACGCCTGTCGTCTTTTCATGACCCGAGGGGGTCGTTGGACTCTCTAACGATCCCACTTGCGTCAGATCGGAGCCGATTTTTGGCGGCTCAGGAAGGCACTTGGGAAGGAGGGAAGGAGGCCAGGAGGGAAGGAGAGAAGGAGGGAAGGAGGTAGGGAGGAATTGAGGGAAGGAGGGGGAGGAACAAGGAGGAGGAGGAGGAGGACAAGGAGGAGGAGGAGGAGGAGGAGGAGGAGGAGGAGGAGGAGGAGGAGGAGGAGGAGGAGGAGGAGGAGAGTGGAGGAGAAGGAGGAGGAGGAGGAGAAGGAGAGGAGAGGAGAAAAGCCATTCAGAAGGCTTGGAGGGATTCTGAGAAGTCCCGCCGCCTTCTGAGAAGGCCTTCTCCTTCTCACTTCCCACCGTTGCTCGCCGCCGAGAGGAGGAGGAGGAGAAGGAGGGGGAGGAGGAGGAGAAGGAGGAGGAGGAGGAGGAGGAGGAGGAGGAGCAGCAGCAGCAGAGGAGGAGGAGGAGGAAGAGGAGGAGGAGGAGGAGGAGGGAGAGGGAGGAGGAGTAGGGAGAGGAGGAGGAGGAGGAGTAGGAGGAGGAGGAAGGAGGAGGAGGAGGAGGAGGAGGAAGAGGAGGGGAAGAGGGAGGAGCCCTCGAGACGGCGAGTGACGCTCACGGAGATGGGTGCTCGCTTGGGGGCCTTGTCCTCGAGCCCACCCAGCGGTCCTGCTCGATTCTAACCGCATGCCCTGGATAGTAAAATGTACCCCCCCGCTCCTAAACCCTGAGATCCTGGCGTTGTTTTTTTTAGACGCCTGGGAACCTCACATATCGATCCGGCTCGAAAAGTGGCGCAATGAGGTGGAGTCTGGGGTTCCGGGCGTTATTTTTTACGAGGTTGCATTTTGTTGGTCCCGGGCCAAGACAGAGTTGCTCGGGGGAACGGGGCGGAGAGGCCGAATTTCATCGTCGCCGGGGAAAGTACGAATCGAAGCAGCTAATGATCCTCTCATGTTGAGCAGCAAGACTATCACGAACGAGTGGCAGAAATTTGGGGTTCTCACCATCCTAGCTTTCCTCACATCCCATCCCTACCCCAGTACCTGCGAGCTGCCGGGACGAGAAATGCATTATCCCCCCGAACCCTGAGTATTCTTATCTCCCGGGTGTGCTTATCAGGCGTATCCGGCTCACTCAATTCTAGCTCGACTACGGTAGGTTCAGGCGGCGTTGGCGCGCCGGCGACGCCGGCGATGGAGTTCAAGCTTTAATTCTGCGACGCTGAAGTACAGAGGCACATTGCAACGCCGCTGGACACGACGGAATTCAATCTTGAACGATCGGGCCTCGATCGATTCAAGGTTGAACGGTCGCCGCGGTGTCAAAAACCGTTGCGCGCGTCGACGTCGCACGAGCCTACCAAAGGTCACTTTGAGCGAGGGTAAGAAAACGGGGTCGTCTGTGACGACAGTCGCGCGTACATTGCTCGTGGAAGGTCGCGCGTTAGCGCCCTCGTCTCCAATGTGGCGTGCCGCGCTGGCGGCCCGCGTGAGCCGCCGCGTAAGGTCGTTGTGGCGTCTCGCGTGAGACCCGCTTCTGTTCGTCGCTCACTTGATTCTAGCTTGACTAGGTCGGCTCAAGTTCGGCCCAGGTTTGGCTCAAGTCGACGGACGTTCGACGCAGCATCGACGCGCGAGTGTGGCGAGCGGCCCCAGGAAGATTGCCAGAACGAGGCCCCAGAGGCCCCAGGGGCGTGGTGGCGGCTACCCGCACCCCCCCCCTCCCCCATGGAACGGGATGCTTTACCCCAGGGGAGGTCAGGGGCAAAGAACTTGGGACGAACTTGCGGTATGCACAACATGTTCTTAGTTGAATTAGAACAAGCGTTGGCGTAGTGCCAACCCCTAGAAACGATGACGACAACGAGCTTGGTGTGCAAACCGTCCGCGAATGCATGACCACTACTGCTCAAGTTGGCATCGTGGGGGGTGCATCGACCCCCAGTTGCCCATCGATCGCCGATGTGAGCCTGTATAGTTCCACCCCGCCTGGGAACGCGCGGATTTCGCCATCGGGGGCCTGGCGCCGATCCATCGGCGATGCATCGCCGATTCCAGGTCGGCGTTTCCCCCTCCCGATGCCAGCCCCCTTCAGCCGTGGCCCCTCAGAGAGGGGGACAGCCACACGAGCGACGCAACAAGCACGTGTTCGACTGCGCCGACGTTTGCGCGTAAGCTGCTTGCGTGAGGTCGCGTCTCCAATGTGGCGTGCCGCGCTGGCGGCCCGCGTGAGCCCCCGCGCCTGCTCGCCGCGCCATCTTTCGTAAGACCCGCTCTTGATGGTCGCTCAGCATCGTTGCCCTGACCTGCCGCGTTCAATGCGCAACACGTGGTGTGTTCAACACGTCCGCGTTGACACGCTGCGTGTCGGCTCGGCACGTGCTGGACCACGTCTTGGCGAGCGTATCGCGTGAGACCTGCGTGTTCTTCAGCCTGCGTGCTGAGCTCCGTGTCCATACGCTGCACATCGCGTGCTGCGTGTCGGGGCAGTTTAGCGTAAGACCTGCTTTGGATCGTCGCCCAGATGGCTCACACGTCTTTCCTCGGCGGCGAGCCCGGGGGCGAAGTGAGAAGGGGCGGGGCTTCTCAGAAGGCTCGGAAGTTCCCCGGCCTTTGAGAAGTGTTCTTCGCCTTCCCCGAAGGCGCAGAAGACTTCTCAGATGGCGCGCGAGGGCTTTGAGAAGTCCCGCCGCCCTCTGAGAAGCCTTCTTCTTCTTCTTCTTCTTATTTTCCCCCTCGCTGGCCGCCGAGAGGAGGAGGAGGAGGACGAGGAGGAGGAGGAGAAAAAGAAGGAGGAGTGGGAGGAGAAACGGACGCTGCATAGGAGGAGGAGAAGGGGGACGAGGAGGAGGAGGAGGAGGCCTTCTCCTTCTCACTTACCCCCCTCGCTCGCCGCCGATGTCCATAAAACCCGGCACGCGGGGGCCGGCGGACGAGAGGGGGGATACAGTGGAGGGCAGTTTACAAGAGACCTTCCACCAGAAGCCCGACCCTGAGACCCCAGGATGGCCACTCATTTTTTTGGGGGTGTGGGAACGGCACGCCCTCCGTAGTAAACCACCGACACCCAAGAAACCTGGGGTACTCTTCTCCCTCCTCCTCCCTCTCCTCCTCCTTCTCCTCCTCCTCCTCCGCCCCCGCCCCCCGCCTCCGCCTCCTCCTTCTCTTTCCCAGTTTCCCCCTCCCCCTCCTTGTCCCCCTCCTCCTCCTCCTTCTCCTCCTCCGCCTCCTCCTCCTCCTCCTCCTCAGCATCACCATCATCATCATCATCATCATCATCATCATCATCATCATCATCATCATCATCATCATCATCATCATCATCATCATCATCATCATCATCATCATCATCATCATCATCATCATCATCATCATCATCATCATCATCATCATCATCATCATCATCATCATCAATCATCATCATCATCATCATCATCATCATCATCATCATCCTGCATCATCATCATCATCATCATCATCATCATCATCATCCCCTCCTCCTTGGCATGGCTTCCACTGTAGGCGGCAGCGGCCGGTGGCCGCGCCTCCCCCCCCGAGAGGCGCGGGGGCCGGACGCCGCCGAGGGCCCGGAGGGCTCCCCGGGCGGAGGGGCGGAGGCGCGCCCCCCCCCGAGGAGGGAGGGGAGGGAGGGAGGGGGAGGGGAGGAGGAGGGAGGGAGGGGAGAGCAGGGGGTGAGGGAGGAGGGGGGATGGGAGGGGAGGAGGGAGAGCAGGGGGGGAGGGGAGGATGGAGGAGGGAGGGGAGGAGGGAGGAGGGGAGGAGGAGGGAGGGGGGGAGGGAGGAGGGAGGGAGGGAAGGAGGGAGGAGGAGGGAGGGAGGGGGGGAGGAGGAGGGACGGAGGGAGAGGGGGGAGGAGGAGGGAGGGAGCGAGGGAGGGAGGGGAAGGCCCAGGAGGGAGGGAGGAGGGAGGGATGGACGAGGCATGGAGGAGCCCTGCGGGCCCTCGGTCGGAGAGCTTGCTTCCAGCGGCGGCGGCGGTGTTGTCGGTGCGACCGTTGAGTGCTGGGGAGAGATGTGCTGTTGTCGGATGGACTGGTTTGCGGCAGCTCAGGGGGGACGGAGGGAGCGAGGGAGGGTAGGATCGAGGAACGAAGAAGGGCACGTGCATAACTAACTTCTCGTAGGTCCGCCTGTGTTTATTGGGTCGGCGTGAGGCCCCCTCTAGTGACGCCTCTGGCGGCGCCCCTGCCGCGCTTCGGACGCCAGGCAGAGGTCCTGCGCTGGCCCGAGCATTCCGCGCGGACCTCCGACAAAGGATGTCTGTGCAGTTCGCTGTTGGTGTAAAGAAGAGGCGAGACGAGAATGTAATATAATATGATATAGAGAAGGGACGATGCGCGAAGAGGAGACGCGACTCATTGGTAGCCTTGCCGATGTAGAGTTATATTTCGGATGGCGTTTGGGAACCTCCTCCTCGGAACCCCGTCAGAGGCTCAACGGGGGTCCTTGCAAGTTCTGGGGCGCTGAGGCCGGCGGCTAGGGTGGCAATGGACAGGTGGAGGAGGAGAACGTGGTGTGGGAGGAGGGAGGGAGGGAGGGAGGGAGGGAGGGATGGGAGGAGGAGGGGAGGAGGAGGAGGAGGAGGAGGAGGAGGAGCAGGGAGGAGGAGGAGAAGCAGGAGGAGGAGGAGGAGGCTGGTCCTGGTTCTCTCACTGGCCTGTCTGCTCCTTGGGCTCCCTGCTCCCCCCGCCGCTCTGGGCCGCTCCCTCGGTCGGGGCTCGGGCCCCTTCGGCGCGAGGACGGCGACGACTTCATCAACTTCTCCAGCGGCGGTGGCCGCCGTCGGGGGGGCAGCATCCCTACCCTCTGGAGGAGGAGGAGGAGCAGGAGGAGGGAGCAAGAGGAGGGGGAGGAGGAGGAGGAGGAGGAGGAGGAGGAGGAGGAGGAGGAGAGGAGGAGGAGGAGGAGGAGGAGGAGGAGGGAGCAGGAGGAGGGGGAGGAGGAGGAGGAGGAGGAGGAGGAGGAGGAGGAGGAGAAGGAGGAGGGGGGAGGAGAAGAGGAGGAGGAGGAGGAAGGAGGAGAGGAGGAGGGAGGGAGGAGGGGAAGAGGGAGGAGGGAGGAGGGAAGGGGGACGGGGAGGGAGAATGAGGGAGAGGGAGGGTGCGGAGGAGGAGGAGGAGGAGGAGGGGGGCCAGTGTGAAAGGCCGCCGCAGGAGGGAGGAGCGGGAGGAGAGAGGGGGAGGGAGAAGCATAGCGATGTCGTCCCTCTATCTCGTCCCTCAGCCGCGCGGCCTGCCTGCGACGAGAGGGCGCGCACGCTCGCCGCCGCCCGTCGCGTGCTGGCCATGCGGGGGCGTCAGTCGTCCTAAACCGCGCGCCAGGATGGTCCGCAGCGATGGGGACAGAACAGGGGCAGGGAGAATGGGGGGGTGGGAGGAAGCGGATGAGGAGGAGGAGGAGGAGGAGGAGGGGGAGGAGGAGGAGGAGGCGGAGGGGGAATGAGGGGGTGGGAGGAGGCGGAGGAGGAGGAGGAGGAGGATCAGCGTAAGCCCAAGGCCCATCACTGGTATGGCAATCACCCCTCCCTCCAGGTTCCCTCTTCCTAGGTCCCATGCAAAGAGATCGCCTTTACTGAGGGAAGTGTCCCGTTGGAAGACAACCCATTGAACATCTGGAGCTGTGCCAGGACACCCTTCGTGGAACACTAACGCGGCGAGTCACTGTTGCTGTTGAGCTTTCGCGTTTTTTCAATCGTGTCAGAACACCTTTCCTGGGGCTGCAACACCGCGAATCCATGTGAATGTTGCGCCCTGACATTCCGATATCGTATCAAAACCTGAGACCTGGGACGTTAACCATCGGAATCCTTGTAATTGCTGGAAGCTCTTACAACGGATGTGTGCGACGCGAAGGCGAGAGCCACATTTTGAAAAGACCCCGCCATCCGTTGGTGAAGATATTGCGATCTTGCTGAGTCGAATGTGCGCGGCGCTACGGCGAGAGCCACATTTTAAAAGCGGGCTGCCATCCATCCGTGAATCTGTTACAAGTTCAAGCTTCAGGGTCATAATTGTGAGGAAGCCTCAGGAGGATATATTTATAAGGAAGAGGGACGGGGGAGGAGGACGAGGACACGGAAGACGAGGATGACGAGGAGAGCGAGTAGAAAATGGAAGCGGCGGACAAGGTGGAGGATGAGGAGGTCGAAGAGGAGGAGGAGGATGCGCAGGAGGAGGAGGAGGAGAGACAGCAGTGAGCAAGCCTCATCATTCAGCGTTCTCGTTGGATTTAGAGCAGGCAGGCTAGGGGCGCAGGCCGCATGGGAAGTTGATGAATGAGAAGAAGGGAGTCGATAAGAGGGCAGAAGGCTACAACCGTCTAGTGGGGCTTCGAGATCGCTCGGGCGTGGTCCAGTGGGTCTGGTGCGGGGTCCGGGGGGGCGGCCTCCTCATCGTTGGGGGAGGGGATAGAGAGATGGAGAGGGAGCGAGAGATCGAGCGAGTGGTACAGGGGGATGGCGAGAAAGAGAGAGAGAGAGAGGCAGCGTGCTTCTAGCAGTCAATGTTGTGCAGTGGAGATGGACAATCTATGTGGTGCAGCCGATGTGGCGCAATGTATGTGGTGCAATTCACTTTGACTGTCTTGAAGCTGTCCTTTCCAGTGCTCGTGCAAGCATCCCACCCTCCCACCCGCAACTTGGTCGCAAGACTTCTTCAGTCCGTGATGGTGGGTGCCAAATGGCATTTGGCAACGATAGCGACGCCGACGACAACAGCGACATCGACGACGACGACGCCGACGACGACTACGACGACACCGACAACGTCTCCGAGGGCGACGACGACAACGACGACGACGACGGCGACGACGACGACACCGACGAAGACGCCGACGCCGACGACGACGACGAGGGCGACGACGACGCCGACGACGAGGACGACGCGGACGACGACGACGACGTCGACGCCGACGACGACGACGACGGCGACGACGAGGACGCCAACGAAGACGACGACTACGAGGGAGGAGGGAGGACGACACCGACCACGACGCCGACGCCGACGACGACGATGACGACGGCGACGGCGACGCCGACGACGAGGACGACGAGGACGACGACGACGCCGACGCTGACGACGACGACGACGACGACGACGTCGCCAACGAAGACGACGATGACGAGGGAGGAGGGAGGACGACGACGGCGACAACGACGACTCCGACGAGGGAGGACGGCGACGACGCGAACGCCGAAGGAGGGAGGACGGCGACGCCGACGACGACGACGAGGGAGGAGGGAAGACGACGACGACGACGACGACGGCGACGAAATAGGAGGGACGACGACGAGACACCGACGACGGACGACGACGACGAGGGAGGAGGAAGGACGGCCACGGCGTCAACGTCGACGGAAACGACGGCGCCAAAGAGGACGACGACGACGAGGAAAGGCAGAGGACGACGACGGCGACGACGACGACGAGGGAGGAGGGAGGACGGCGACGACGACGACGACGCAAGAGCGCCCGCGTACGCTTTTGTTGAACATCCGTGTTGCGACACCTTCTGTTTTTGTATGTTTCTTGGACACTCGATTTTGAAATCCTTCCGAAACCTGAGGCTCTTGAAGGAGGTCGGCATGCGCGCGCGACGACGCGCGGGCGCGTGCACCTCGTCCAGTTTTTTGCAGAGGATTCTCGCGACGGCACGCGCGCAAGGGCGTTCGATGGATTTCGACATGCGCGCGCGCGAAGCCCGTTTGGTAGTATTTGTTGTTGAGAATGTTGAGAAACCCATGGTTTTCTTCAGATTTAGCAAGGGCGCGCGTGTAAGCTTTTTTAGAACATCAATGTTGCGAAACTCTTCGTGTTTGTATGTTTGTTTGGAAACTCGATTTTGCAACCCTGCCGAAACCGACGGTTCTTGAAGGATTTCGGCATGCGCGCGCGACGACGCGCGCGAGAGCAATTCGTCACATTTTTGCAAGGGATTTCTGAAACTTATGAATTTCGATAAACGAGTGCGCGCGCATAGTATTTTTTGAGAGGATGGCTGGGAGGGGCTGATACCAGTTTAGCTGGGATAATATGAATTCAGAGGTTGGATGGACATGGGGCCAGAATCCTACGTGTTCTTGCACCGGTTCCCCGGGGATCTTTAAACGCTGGGGGGTGAGAGGGTGGTAGAACCTATTTTCTTCTTAGAAAGGAGAATCGACGTTGTGCAATATATGCGGTGCAACCGACGTGGTGCAACCTACGTGGCGCAGTCCATGTGGTGAAAATTATGCGGTGCAGTCGATGTGGTGCAGTTTTTGTGGGGCAATCTATGCGGTGTGGTCTTTGTGGTGCAATATTTCTCGTGCACAGTTCCCCCCACCAGTGTTTGTATTTAGGGGTTCTTACTTGTGGAGTGAGGTATTGGGCTCGTGTCTTGGTCCGGCGGCTATGTCGCCGCCGTCGCCGCCCCGTCGCCGCCCCGTCGCCACCCGTCGTCTGGGTCTGTGTCTTTGTCCGAGGCCTCTGCAGTCGCCGTCGTCGCTCCGTCGCCGCCCCGTCGCCTGCACAATGGAGCTTGCACCGCGCAGAGTGCACCGCATAGACTGTAACACGTACATCGATTGCACCACATAAGATGCAACAAGTAGATTGCACCACGCTGATTACACAGCATGTACTGAACAACGCGGATCGCATGACATAGATTTCACACATTAGATTGCACATCGTAGATCGCACCACATATTTTCATCTTCCCATAAGAAGATAGGAGATTATCCCCCCCCCAAAAAACGGATGCCTTTTTTTCGTATTGGAATTTTCATTTGATTCTGCCTCATCGTCCATCCGAAATACGAAGTCATACCATCCCAGACGGTTGGTATCGCCCCCCCGTTTCATCCCTTGCAAACCAGTGCTACGCGCGCGCACTCGTTTATCGAAAAGCATTGGTGTTCAAGAGCCCTCTGCAAGCAATCTGACGTCGTGCACACGTGCGCTTCGTCGCGCGCGCATGTTGAAATCTTTTCAACACCGCAGGTTCCGTAGGGATTTCAAAATCGCGCGCCCCGAAAACATGTAAAAACACATGATATTGCAATTTCAGCCTTCCTAATAAAGGCTGCGCGTGCGCTCTTGCGAATTCTTTAAAACGAAAGACCATAGGTGTTCTACATTGTGGCGTAGTTCTGCCCAACGGGCCTCTCACGCCGCATGCCGCATTCCTCCGAGCGCCCTTGCGCGCGTTCTGGGTGGCACGATCCGTGTCAAATAATGCCACGCGGGCCACTCGTGCGCGTCGGCCGCGCGCGCCTGTCGATCCCCTTCCAAAACCTTCATCACCAACGCGAGGACATCGTCACCGTTACAAGCGGGCGTGATCAACATCGGCGCCGTCATTGGCCTTGCCGTCGTCATCGCCACCACTGTCACCAGCAAAGCTACTCTCATCATCGTGTCTACCGTTGTCAACGTTGCCATGATGCCCTGCCCGCCCAAGTCGCCGATTGGCACTGAATTGCCCGCGTCGGCCGCACCAAACTAGCTGGCCGCTGCTCGCGCGAGCATGCACGGGCTAGCGTGGCCGCAGAGACGCACCAGCCAACACCAAGCATTCATCGCAATCGCCGCCGCATGGGCATTGTAAACCAAGTTGCGGGTGGGTGGGTGGGATGCTTGCGTGAGCACTGGGCTGACAATTTCAAGTTCGGCCGGGGGGGAATCCTATCTTGTTAAGAAGGACATTCTGATGGGGAGTAGGTGGCGTCATTTCAAAGCCAGGCGATAATAACATAAGCTGGTAAGGCGATGAGGCGAGATATTATGATACAACGATAAGGCGATATAGGGCCACGCCAGGCGATAAGATGGTACGACGATGGGACGATATGTGGCCCCACCATACGCTAATACGAGAAGACGATGAGACGGTATAGATAGGGTGACGCCATCCCCATATCGGCTTATCGCCTCTTCGTATTATCGCCGGGTGAAGCCCCATCTCGTCTTATCGTCGTCTCGTCTTCTCGTCGGGAGCAAATCTGGAGTTTGCTCTGGGGCATGGATGCTCGGCGCGTCTTGGTAACACCTGCGGCCATGAGTATAGACATAGCCATAGATATAGCCTTCACCATTGCCACAACCCTCGCCATAGCCATAAGACAGAACAGGACAAGAAAAGGCTGCACCTAGACGGCCTCGTTGTCTTTTTTGTACCAACGAGGTGCGAGGGAAACCTGCGCGGCGTTCTGGGGGGAAGCGGACGGAGGGAGGGAGGGAGGAGAGGGATGGGAGGGAGGAGAAGGCACAGAAGGCGAAAACATTCATACTGTCTGCGTGTGTTGATCGACTGCTGTTTCCCCTTGTGGGGAGTGCAGCACATCCTGTAAACGTTCCGAGTGGCCCCCCTCTACGCTCAGAGCCCGGGCTCGCATGCAAGTTGTCCATTGTAATCGTGGTCGCCCTCTTTCGCGAAGGGTGTCTTTTAACCTTCAGGGGAGAAAATTGAACGTCGGCCCTCGCTCGAATGCCAAAAGAATAACCACATGTTTTTGTTGTTGCCCAGTGCGGCCGGGGTTTCAGACACCGAAAGCAAATGCTTTTCCCAGGTCGCCCAACGGCGGCGCCAGGATACTCGCGCCCCGCGGCCTGGGCTGGAGAGTTGCCCTTCTCCATGAGGCCGCCCCTGGCATCTCCTAAACAACCACGCGCGGCTTTTTTCCCGGTGCGGTCGGGGCATGAAGCACCGGGCAGCTGTCGAGACCCCTGGGGTTCGCCCAGGGCTGCGAATGGGGAGAACTCTGCATCGGAAGTCTGGGTTGTTAGCCCCCCGTGCCTGGCACGTGTTGCCTGCGCCCGGGAGGGCCCCGGAAATACGACGCCGACGACGTCTGTCTGTCCAGGGGGGAGGAGGAGGAGGAGGAGGAGTAGAAGGAGGAGGAAGTGGGGGAGGGGGTTTGGAAAAAAGCATTGTCGACGGTTTTTGTTCTCCGAGGAGGTGGAGGAGGCGGAGGAGGAGGAGGAGGAGGGAGAGCAGGAGGTGGAGGAGGAGGAGGGGCAGGGGGAGGCATGCGTGACACGGTACGCACGGGATGCCATGCTGCAGTGCTTCCGAAAGACACACACATGCTCATACACAGACGTACCATCAACGATGTTTGGCATATGCATTTTCATTGTTTCCAACAAATCATTGAAACGCAGATCAGTATCGCCATCATTATCAATTTTTGACACCAGCACCATCACCAGCACCACTACCAGAACACCGGAACACCCGACGATGATACGACGACGCGACGCAGGGCCCCACCAGACGACAAAATGATAAGGTGGTAAGACTGCTTCATCGTCTTATCGTCGTATGGTGTGTTGTGGGCCCGCATCGTCTTTTTGTTTTTTCGCCATATCGCCTGGTGAGTCTCAATTTCGCCTTATCGTCTTACCGTCTTATCGTCTGCTGCCCCTTCATCGTTTCATCGTCTTACCGTCTTATCGTATTATGTTGTCTTATCGTCTTGCCATCTTATCGTCTGCGTGAGGCTTAGACCGCCGATCCCCACCACACTGAAAAATAATTTTGATCTACCCCCCCCCCCGATTTAACCGCCCCACTTTTCTCATTGCAACTTACATGTGATTCTGCCGCACCGTCCATCCTAAATATGAATGCGTATCATCCAAGGCAGGCCGGTAACGGTGTCCCCCTTCGCCCTGTGCAACAAGTACTATGTACGCGCATTCGTTTATCGACAATCACCAGTTTTCAATAACCACTTGCAACAGATTGGGCGAAGTGCGCACGCGCGCATCGTCACGCGCGCGTGCCGAAGTCTGTCAAAACAACCTTACGTTTCGTCAGAATTTGACATCGACTGTCCTGACCACAAATGACAAGCACATGGTTTCGCAACCCGGGTTTTTGAACAGAAGGTACTGCGTTCGCGCTCTTGCAGATTCTGATGAAAACCGAAGGTTGTTTTCCACATCTTCATAACATGCTACCAAACGGGTCTCTCGCGCGCGCATGTCGAAATCGCTCGAACACCCTTGCGCACGCTCCGTCGCAATATTCCCTTTCAACAGATGGGACGAAGTGCGCACGCGCGCGTCGTCGCGCCCGCAAGCCGGAATCAATAACATGGTTTAGTCCTCGTAAGGTTTTCAAAATCGAGAGTCCCGAACACATACAAGCACATGGTTTCGTAACATCAGTTATTCGAAAAGAATGCGCGCTCTTGCGACTTCTCAAACCAGTGTTTTTTTTCAACATGTTCATCAACTCTTACCCAACGGGCCTCTCGAGCAGTATGTGGCACTCATCCGAACGCCCTTGCGCGCGTGCTGGGGGGGCACGGTTCGTGTCAAAAAAATGCCACGTGGGCCACTCGTGTGCGTCGGCCGCGTGCGTATGTCGAACTTCTTCAGAGCCTTCATCTCCAACGCGAAGACATCGTCATCGTTATCGGCGGGCGTGATCAACCTCGGCACCGTCATTGGCCTTGCTGTTGTCATCGCCACCATCGTCTCCATCATAGCTGATCTCATCATCGTGTCTTCCGTCGTCGGCGTCGCAGTGATACCGCGACCGACCAGGTCACCGACTCGCACTGCACTGCCCGTTGGGAAAGGGCCCAGCGGTCAGCGCGACCGCGGCCGCGTCGGTCGCGCCGCACTAGCTGGCCGCTGCGCGCGCGAGCATGCGCGGGCTGGCGCGGCCGCAGAGATGCACCAGCCAACGCCAAGCATTCATTGCAATCGCCGTCGCATGGGCATTGTAAACCAAGTTGCGGGCGGGTGGGTGGAATGATTGCGCGAGCAGTGGGTCTGACAACTCCTTGCGAGCAGTGGTGAATTGTACCACGTATGTTCTCCTTTCAAAAAAAAGGAGATCGGTTCTACCACACTCCCTCCCCGGACTTATCGACTCCCCAGGAACCGGTGCAAAATACATATGTTTCTGACCCAGTGCCCATCCTACCTGTGAGTTCGTACTATTCCAACCAGGCCGGTATCGGACCCCCCCTTCGGTTCCCTTGCACATCCATTTACCACAAATCGCAAGTTTTCAATAATCCCTTTGCACAACAATTGTGCGAAGTGCACACGCGCGCGTCGACGCGCGCGCATGCCGAAATCCTTTACAACCTCTCGGTTTCGGAAGGACTCAAAATCGAGTGTCCAAAAACTTTTCTTCCAAACAAAAACATGGTTCCGCAACGCGGCTTTTCAACAAAAGTTCGCGCGCGCCCTTGCGAAATATCCAGGCAACCGTACGATTGTTGAACATGCTCGTAACATGCAACCGAACGGGCTTCGCGCGCGCATGTCGAAATCGTTCGGACGCCCTTATGCGCGTGCTGGGGTTGCACGATCCGTGTCACATGTTACCATGCGAGCCACTCTCGCGCGTCTGCCTCGCGCTCATTTCGAATTCCTTCCAAAATCTCCATCACCGACGCGACGACGCCGCCGTCGTCGTCGGCGTGATCACCATCGGCGCCGTCACTGGTTGCCCCGTCGTCGTTTTCACCATCGGCGCCAACATCGCTACGATCATCATCGTGTCAACCGTTGTCGACGTTGTCATGATGCTGCGCCCGCCCAAGTCACCGACTCGCAGTGAAGTGCCCGTTGGGACGTGCCAAGCAGTCAGCGTCACCGCGTTCGCGTCGGTCGCGCCAAACTAGCTGGCCGTTGCGCGCGCGAGCATGCGCGGACTAGCGCGGCCGCAGAGATGCACCAGTCAACACCCAACACGCATCGCAATCGCTCCTGCATGGATTTTCAAAAGTTGCGGGTGGATGGGTGGGATGATTGCGCAAGCAGCGGAATTAACAATTTCAAGTTCTGCAAGTGAGTTGCACCACGTATACTGCAGCATATGGATTGCGCCACGGATTTTGCTCCAAATATATTGCACCACGTCGATTGCGAACACTCTCTATCGAACTGGTTCTGAAAATGGGTCTGGCGTCGCCGTACTTGCCGTCGCCGCCCCGTCGCCGCTTCGTCGCCGCCCGTCGTCTGGGCCTTATACTCGGTCTGGCGGCTCCGTGTTGCCGTCGCCGCCCCGTCGCCTCCTCGTCGCCGCCTGTCGTCTGAGCCTGATCGTCGGTCTGGCGGCTCCGTGCTCGCCGTCGCCGCCCCGTCGCCGCTTCGTCGCCACCCGCTGATCGTTTCTTTGTCAAACATCAAATTTGGACGTACCCCCCCCGGATCGTCAGTTCGCTCTTTTGTATTGTAATTGAAAATGAATTTGGACGCTCCTCCTTCATGTCCACCTTGAAATCGTACGATCCAACGATGCCGGTACCGAGTGGCCCCATCACCCCTTGCAAGAATATTTTGCGCGCTCGGCGATCTGAATCCACGATTGCGCAACAAATCTTGCAATAGAAAGAACGAAGTGCACGCGTGCGTTTCGTCGCGTTCGCATGCCGAAATCCTTCAACACCCGTAGGGACTCGTAGGGACCTAAAAGAACCTATAAAACAGCAGTGGGTTGCTAGATGTGTTGTCCAGCGCGCATAGTTCCAGCGGGGCGCTACTAGGGAATGCGGGCAGACACAGGGCGGATGATCAGGTTTGCCTCGTGCACTCCCAGAGCGGGGAGCAGGAGGAGGAGGAGGGGGAGGGGGAGGAGGAGGAGGAGGAGGAGGAGGAGGAGGAGGAGGAGGAGGAGGAGGAGGAGGAGGAGGACGAGTCACTGTTTCGTGCACACCGAGAGCGGGTGACGCTCCACGCCGCCCTGGGTGCTCTCCCCATGCTGCCCAGGTGGCGGCCCGCAGGGCTACCCCGCCGGGGCGCAGCGCGGGCTCCTGGCCAGCGCGGCCCGGGGCGTCCGCAAGGCGTGGCCCTGGGGGCGTCGTCAGGGGCGTGCGTCGTCGTGGTGTCGTTAGGGTTTTCGCTTCATTGGCGAAGAACGGTCTACTATGAGCTTTGCCGCCGTCGGGGACGCCTGTCCCAGGGCGGCTGGAAGTTTGTACCCCTACGGAGGCACGTCGAGGTATAAGCTTTCCAGCCGCCCTGGGACAGGCGCCCCCAGCGACGGAACAGTTTATTTCAATCCGGTCTTCGCCCGCTCACTCGTATTGTGCGGTCGGGGACTTTGGTTCAGCCTGTCTCGAAGAAGCCCATAAACACATACACATAACCGCGCGGATTTCTTGGAGTGGCGCGTTCCGCGCGCCAGGGAGGGGGGGTCGGCGCAGATCCAAGAAATCCGCGCGGACCTCCGAAAGTTTGAGTTTGTGCAGTTCTTTGTTGCTCTAATGTCGCGCCGCCGGTTCGGGTTCCCCACGATCCGGCGCGGCGCGCTATCCGCGTCCCCGTTCCCACGCGTCAACGGCCTTGCCCAACCTCCTGCCGCACGGAGCGGAGCGACATGCTATCCGCTCGGAAGGCGCGTGTCGCCGGGGCCGCGGCCGCGACACGTTAAGCAAAAGTTCTGGACTGCAGTGCTGGTCGTCGTTGAGATTGCTTTGGCCTTCTTGTGGACCTCTTTGGTGGCCCCTCGGTTGTCGCTTTGGTGAGCCAGTTTGGGAGCAGGGGGTCCTAAGGCAAGGCAGAGCGATAAATTTCACGTGCTGATTGCCTACAACGGGGGCGGGGCCAGATGCTAGGGCGGGCAGCCCCCTAAGAGATCTGATGTTTTTTTGTTTGTTTTCCGGGGGAGGAACAACTATTCCAACTCCCATTGTTGGCGTTTGCCAAACAATCTTGGGCGTTCACCAGACAGGCCTGCCCAGCCGATGCATTTCTTTGGTGCGTTTGATCATTTGCTTCGCCTGTCGGGATTGTTTTGCTGCCCTCTACGTCCGGCCTCCGAGGAGAGAGGGCGGGCACCAGGAAGCTGGATGCACATCAAGGGGCAACGGTAGGGGATAGGGCGGACTGATCTCTGTGGGCCCCGGAAGCGGCAGGGCCGGTTTTTTCACCGTTTCCAGAAAAGTGCACCTTGAAGATGGAAACGGCAAAAAAACGGCGACCGGAAACCGCAAAAGAACGGCTCCAGGATTGGAACCGGAGCCGGAACCGGTCAAAAAACGGCGCGACGGAACCGGTACAAAAACGGCGTCGGAACCAGGGAAAAAACGGCAAAACGGAACCGGTTAAAAAACGGCCTTGTCGCTTCCAGGGCCCACTAAGGGACTGACAAAGTTTTCTTTTCTGGGCTGTTGGATGTTTTCCTTCGTTCTCGGCGGTGTTCCATCCTCGGGGTGCCTGCCAGAGGCTGCGCCTCGCCCAGAGCGTTCTGGGGGAGCCCGGGTCGTCCCGAACGGCCGCTGGACAAACAAGGTATGGCCCGAAGGCGATGGGGCAACGCTCCCCGTGGTCTGCAGGTGCACCTCCTTGCGATGCGCGAGACGGTGCACGGTGCCGCCTCTGCGAGGAGATCGAGAGGCGGAGGGAGGAAGGAGGCGATGCGATCCCTGCAGACCTCGTCATTGACGGCATGTCCGTCTTCAGCGCCCTGCTCGTGGACCTGGTGCGGCCGCCGTCCGAAAACAGCACGGCTGGCCGCCTGTGGCGGTTAGCCGACCAGCTGCGCTCCAAGCGGACCGACGACTGGCACTTGTGCGACACTCGAGACATGCGGGCCGACCAAGGGCAGCACGGGCCGAAGGCTCATCCTCGGCGTGATGAACGGCCATATCAGCTACGCCCACGCCGCCGTCAAGTTCAGCGACAAGAAGCTGAATAAGGTCGTCCCGAGCTAGCAGCATAGCTCACTCACGAAGCTCACGGAGAAATGTGGAGATGACTCTCGTGATTGTGTCACGAACTCAAACAGAGGCTGAAAACAGATATGCGACATCAGCGGGTCGATGAGAAGAGCGCTCTAGTGAGCGGGCTCTCCCGGACCGTGTCCGGGTAGTTCGCGGATCTTTAGCAAGCGCTCCCTAATCATCTCGTTTCTTTTGAGGTGGGGGTTCGGATGCCCTGGTTAGTCCCGCGGGTTTCGGCGGGAGTGCTTCCATTCTTGCCGCGGGCGCCGTAAAACGTTTTTGCAGTTGGCGCCGAGGGGGTTTCAATGTGCCTTTGGAACGGAGCGGAGTCCGTCAACCCAGGGACGTGGCAAAACCAATTAAATGTCTCCCTTCGTGGCAAGGCAGTTTTGCTATGAAGGGGCGGTTGATCGAGCCCCTCCTGCTGTGTTGAAATTTTTGAAGGCACGGAGGAACACCAGACTCGAACGGTAGCTCCTTGCCCAGTGCCCCGTTTCTTATTTTTGGTGGCCTGCTGCACTGTTTCGATTCAAGGCCTGATCAGTGCACCGCGCCCGCCTTGGACGCCCCTTAGACATTCTGTCTTAGACCATCCTGCGCTGTACTTCGTTCACGGAGCAACGCCATTTCCTTCATTGCATCATCATTTCTAGTTTTCCCTGTGCAATGCCATAGATATGCTGTTCCCCTCCTTCTTCCAGAAGACATGCGGAGAGTGCCCCGCCCTCACCGGGTGCGTGCATCGCGTTGCGCGCGCAGGGTGCCACAGGCCGATGCATTCGACGCGCCCGGTTAGGACGCGCGCGTTCCTCCAGGGTGCCTGTTCGCGCCCCTGCCTCTGCAGCCCGTCCTTTGCCGTTTTCGCGGGTCCCCCGTCGCCCAACGAAAATCCCAACTCTGGCCTCCAAGGGTCTTGCGTCCGCGTTTTGTCTGTAGTTGTGGCGTGTGCATATATATATATATATATATATATATATATATATATACGTGTTCCTCCCATCTGAGCGGTGATCCAAAAGGGTGTTCCCGCTGCAATGCGGGCTTCCTGTTCGGATCGCGGCTTGGCTCCCGTCGTTCATATTTGTGCTCTCGCCCCAGCGCGGTCCTTTATTTCAGGTTCCAAGAACCTCTTTGCCATTGTCGATCTCCTCTTTTTCCTTCCTCTGCCTTCCCCTATTCCCTCTGCCTGCCCGCTCATTATATTCCAGCTCCCGATCTGAACACCATGATCCTCTTTCCCCCGACGTCGTCGGTGAGGTGTCCTGGCCTCCTCCGTTTATGGTGTTTTTACACACCGGATGCCGCCGAAATGAAAATCAATAGGTGTTGGTCCAATCCGAACGTTTTCGATCGTTTCAAGATTGCGCCCCCGCTACAGCGTCGTCTCAATTTTCCCGTTGTCAGTCCTTCCATACCTACCATGTACCCGCTGCAGGGCTGACTTCAATTCATTGTTTCGGTTCTTCCAAATCGTATTATTGTTGCAGCGTTGGCTTCGGTTCCGCGCTTCCAGTCCTTCCAAGTCGTGCTCCCATTGCAGCGCTGGTTTCATTTCGGCGGTTCCGCCCTTCGAACTCGTCCTCCCGCTGCAGCGCTCATCCTATTTTGCTCTTCCCGCGTTCCAGACCATCCATTTGCAGTTCCCGTCCTGTGTAATGTCTGGTTATCCTTTGACCTTGTTGTCGACATGCGTCGCGTTCTCGACGCGACGACGACGGCTGTGGCCGTGCTCTTCTATGCCATGCTGTGCCGTGGTAGATGATAGTTTATGCATCACCCGCTCTCTCGGGATCGTTGCCCATTTCGACATCCGACCGTGCGAATAGAGAGGGACCCTACGCAATGGTAAGGGATGGGAGGGAGGTGTAGGACGGCAGATATGACGCTTGCGCATCTAGCCTGCCCTTCCCCCCTCTCTCCCTCCTCCTCCTCCACCCCCCTCCTCCGCCTCCCTTCTCCTCCTCGTTCCTCCTTCTCCGCCTCCGCGTCCTCCTCCTACTGCTCCTCCTCCTCCTCCTCCTCCTCCTCCTCCTCATCATCATCATCATCATCCCTCTCCTCCTGCTCCTCCTTCTCCTCCTCTTCCTCCTTCTCCTCCTCCTCCTCCTCCTCCTCCTTGATCTCTTCCTCTTTCTCCTTCTCCTCCTCCTCCTCCTCCCTCCTCCTCTCTCCTCCTCCTCCTCCTCCTCCCTCCTCCTCCCTCCTCCTCCTCCTCCTCCTCCTCCTCCTGCCCGCCCCCGGCCCGCAACAGCGGGCCCGCCATCGCAGAGGTGGGCAACGCCCTCAGCCACGCGAAGGCCTACGCGAACCAGGCCGCCCGCGCCCCTCTCCCCGGAGGAGGGGGGCGGGGAAGGATGACTCGGGGGCGGAAAAGAGGGGGGTGATGACTAGGTGGGGGTGGATATCATGGCGGGGGTCATGATATTTCCCCAGATTTCGTGGCGCCTCTTCTTGTTTCATTACGTCCCTGGCCCCCCCGCTGGGCCGCGCACATGCCGCCGGCCATGATTCGCCCCCCCCCCCCCTCTTGGACACCCCCCTCTTGGCCGCTCCCGAGAGGAGGGGGCGGGGGAGGATGACTTCTGGGTCTCCCAGATGGGGTCCGAGCGGATGGGGTCAGAGGATCGCGCCGCATCGCCGATGCACTGCCGGTGCGGCTCGATGTGGAGCCAGACTCGCTTCACGCCGACGTCGCCGATGCACCGCCGATGCGTCGGCGAGGCATCGCCGGTGCACCACCGATGCGCCGCCGGTGCAGCGGCGATGCGGGGTCGATCCTCGGGCCCCAGCTGCTCGGACCCCATGCGGGAGGCCCAGTAGCAAGGGCCGGCGAGGCCGAAGACGGCGAAGCACCCTCCTCCTCCTCCTCCTCCTCCTCCTCCTCCTCCTCCTCCTCCTCCCCCTCCTCCTCCCCCTTCTCCTCCTCCCCCTCCTCCTCCTCCTCCTCCTCCTCCTCCTCCTCTTCCTGCTCCTCCTCCTCCTCCTCCTCCTCCTCGCCCTCCCTCCCCCCTCCAACTCCTGGTGGTGGTGGTGGAACACAGGCCAGCCATCTCCACTCGGCCGAGCTTGTTTCCTCTCGGCTTAAGATGCTCCAGCCTACTTTAGCCTTGTTCGCCAGGAAGAATCTCGAGCGCCCGAAGAAGTACCGAAGCTCAAGGGTTTTCACGCGTCGGGCCCTGGGAGACACTCGCCTGGCACTGTTTGGCACTCTTTTGACGCTTTTCCGGGTGCTCGAAATTATTTCTGGGATGCGGTCCTTAGGTAGGATGGGAGCAACATAAGTCTCAGGGCCCGACTGGGCTTCGTGTCATGGGGCCGGGGCGCTCAGTCGGGGGGGCAGCGAGGGCTGCAGAAAAGGAGCCTTCCATGGCCCCCGAGTCGGGCCCCTCGGGGCCCAAAAGTGGAGCCCATGTGGGGCCCGAAGAGGGCCCCTTTCTTCCCCCCCCCCTCCATGCTTATCGCCCCCCAATTTCGCGTTCGCGCCCAAGGATGAGGAGGGCCCCCCTCCTCCCAGGCCCTGCTTCGCTCCGATCGATCGGGCTCCATGTCCAACGCCGGTAGCCTGGTCCGATTCGACTCCGATGTTCCAAAGATCCGGTGCGTCCCGATGCTTGCAGGGAAGGATGAGGAAGGGCCCCCGCTTCCCAGGGTCCGATTGGATTCGATCGATCGGGTTCGACGTCGCTTCTGGCTGGCCGGGTCCGCTTCGATGCCGATGTTTTTCGACGATTCGGTACGGCCCTATGCTTGCATCGCGCTGTTGTGCATCCTGGCGCGGCCGATGCGATTCGATTTCAATCTCGATTCCGTGCAGATGCTTCCCGATTCGACGCACGTGTGGATCCGTTCCGGTTTTCCACACCAGTGCTGACTGATCCTGCCTCCTCGCGAGGTGAGCAACGTCACGACGAGATTGTAACGGTCCCTGCCCAGGCCCCCGTCACTCCTCGGGTAACGGTGACGATCGTGCGGAGGGGGTGACGGGGGACCCGCCCCCGTGCAGGTGCTCGCGCGCATACTATGGCGGTCGCAGCGCACCCCCGCCCCGACGTGCCCCACCGCGCCCTACCGTTACCTCGGGCCCCAACCCCGCCCTCCCCCAGGTAACGACCGTCATTGAGGCGGATAACGAAGCAATCTTGACGGCGGATTTCGCGAATCTTCGGCATGTGGCGGCCCTCTAGCCAGGCCCCGTGGACGGGACGTTCGGAGAAATGGCCAGTGACGGTCTCGGGGCAAGGGGCGGGGCCACAGGGGGTGTACGTTGTGGAAAAAGTCACGTCGTCGGAGGCCTGGGGAGGAGGAGACGGAGGAAGGAAGGAGGAGGAGGAGGAGGAGGAGGATAATGGGATGCCCTTCCTCTCTTCTATGGTGCGTGGAGGTGTCGTGAGACTCTCAAGATAAGAGGGTGCACCCGCGTAGATGTTGCAGTGCATGGATGCCCCTGCGAGCTTCGGGCCTCGGCATTCCGCTCGGGCGCTGCCCCTCCGCCGTCGTGGCCTCCCTCCGGCCCTCGCTCGTCTGCCTCTTCGCCGGGCCCTCGCTCGGTCCAGTTGCTGCTTGGGCGTTAACGCTCGGCTCTGCCCACGTCCACGACAAAAAAACATGCCGTGAACGTCGTGGGGGCGATGTCTTCTTCTGCATCCAGAGGCCCCCTCTGGCGCAACCCCTGGGGAGACGGGTCGTGGTCATCTTCGTCTATCGCCCTCTTTTCTTCTCGCTCGCTCTCGCTCTCTCTTTCTCTCTCTCTCTCTCTGTCTCTCTCTCTCTCTCTGTCTCCCCCTCTCTCTCTCTCTCTCTTCCCCCCCCCTCCTCTCCTCTCTCCCTCCTCTCCTCTTCTCTCCCCCTCTCCCGCCTCTCTCTCTCTCTCTCTTTCTCTTTTTTTTTTTTTTCTCTCTCTCTCTCTCTCTCTCCCTTTCTCTCTCTCTCTCTCTCTCCTCTCCCTGTCACTCTCTCGCTCTCTCTCTCTCTCTCTCTTTCCCTCCTCTCCTCTACAATTACTCAATATGAATACTACTCTCCCTCTTCCCCTGATGACGGAATGGGAGTAGCCGACCCCTCCCCCCCGCGTACTGTTTTTTACAAAGGTTTCCCCGGAGTTGGGTTTTCGCCTGCATTTTTTTCCAAAGTGCTGCTCTCGCTGAGGCGCCGGCCTCATTTTCGGGCCCCGCTCGTTCCGAATCGTGCTCCCGCTGCAGCGTCGGTCTCATTTTCGGATCGGTGTTTTGCCTCCGTCGTTCAGGATGGCGTTCTCGCCCAAGCGCGGGCCTCTGTCTCGCGCGCCCATCTGCCCGCCACCACCGCACCGCGCCCTGCCCCGCCCACCGCCACTTCCACCCACCAACGCACGCACGCACGCACGCGCACCGCCACCACCACCCCACTACCCCACCCACCACCACCACGCTACACCGCGTCACACCACATCACACGCGCGCGCACACAGACACACACACACACGCACGCACGCACGCACGCACGCACGCACGCACGCACACACGCACACACACACACACACACACACACACGCACGCACGCACGCACGCACGCACGCACGCACGCACGCACGCACGCACCACGCACGCACCACACCACCACACACCACCACCGCCATCACGCACGCACGCACCTGGCCCACCACCAAACCACCAAGACGCCACACCACGTCACACCACAGCACACGCGCACACACGCACACACAACCACCACCACCACCACCACCACCACCACCACCACCACCACCATCACCACCACCACCACCACCACCACCACCACCACCACCACCACAACCACAACCACAACCACCACCACCACCACCACCACCACAACCACGCACACACGCACGCACGCACGCACGCACGCACGCACGCACGCACGCACCACCACCCACTACGCACGCGCGCGCGCGAGCCACAGGTCCGCTACGACACGCGTCCGCGGATATAGAGAAAATCAGCGCCATGGTAAGGGATGGGAGGGAGGGGTAGGACGTCAGATATGACGCGAGCGCACATAGCTTGCCTCTCCCCCTCTCCCCCCTCCGCCCGCCCGCCGCACGTGCCAGGAAGGCCCGCCAGCGCCGGGGCCCTCGGCCCATCCGCTGCCGAGGCATTGCCTCGAGGCGGAGAGGGGACTCGTCGGAGGCCCTCCCCGGCCGTGAGTTGCCCACCTCCCCTCTCGGGGGCCCTGCGGCCCCGGACCCCCGACGTGATGATTTTCGTCACGACGTCAACCCTCGGAGGGCTCGACCCCTTCCCCGGGACAGGCTTCTCGTCCTGCGTCGTCATGTTTCGGGCGGGTGGTAAGGGGGGGGTGACCCACATGGGGGGTGAAGAAACTGGCCCTCAAGGGGCCCTTTAGGGCCCCTTTTGGAGCCAGCTGGTGACTAAAAGGAGCCCTCAAGGGCCCCTTGAAGGTATTTTTCTTCACCCCCAATTCGGGGCACCCCCCATCAGCACCCGCCCGAATGTTTTGGCAGCCCCGAGGCCTGGTAAGGGCCCCCAGAGGCCGAAAACAGCGAAACACTCCCGTCGTGGTTTTCTCAGGGCCCGATTGGGCGTCGCGTACTGGGGCAATAACTGAAGGGGGGCAGCGAGGGCGCAAGAGGGGGCCTTCAGGGCCCGAAGAGTGCACCTCTCTCTCCCCCCTCCCTCTCATCGCCCCCCCCATTAGGCTGCGCCCAAGGAGAACGGCGAAGAACCTCCCGTCGTGATTTTCCCGGGGCCCGCGGGGTCCGGGCCTCCTCTCTCGCGGGCGCCGCGCGCCGCTCGCCTTCGCCTCGGGGCGGCGCCCCGCGCGGAGGTCGACCACCCCCTGAGCCCGGGCGGTCTGCTCCAGGCCCGCGCGCTGCGCGAGGCCGTGGGAGCCGCCTTCGCCTGTAGCCCGCAGCCCGAGGACGGGAGGGGGGGCAAGCGAGGAGATCGGGGCGGAGAAGATCGAGGAGGAGGAGGAGATCGTGGGGAGGCGGGAGGAGGAGGAGGAGGAGGAGGAGGAGGAGGAGGAGCCGGAGGAGGAGGAGGAGGAGGAGGAGGAGGAGGAGGAGGAGGTCAAGGAGGAGGAGGAGATCGAGGAGGACATGGAGGAGGCGGAGCAAGAGGAGGAAGAGGAGGGGGAGGAAGAGGAGGAGGAGGAGGAGGAAGAGGAGGAGGACGAGGTGGAAATCAAGGAAGATGATGATGAGGAGGAGGAGGAAGAGGAGCAGGAGGAGGACAAAAGGACCTGTCGGCAGGAAACGCGGAACGAGTACCACAACCCCTTCAGCACGGGCATCGGGTCATCGCACCTGCTGCGGCGGCCGAGGTCCAGCATGACTACTTGCCTAGGTCTCTACGGGGCCAGCACTTGTGACCTGGAGCCGACACGCTGGACTGCAGGCCGCGGGCGGACCCACGACTCGACCCCGCCTTCGCTACAGCAGCGGCACGGGCCCCCGACCGAGCACGAGAAGGCATCCAGTCCGAGGTCCTGACGAAGGAGTGCACTTACGCGTCCCTGGAGGTCGGACAAGCCTACGTCCCAACCAATGCCCCAGGGGGATGGATGAAGAGCTTCTACCCGCACCACTACACGCTCGCCTACCTGGCCGCCACCAGCGAGTGTTGGAAGAGATCTACCGCGGAAACGTCCGACACAGCAATACGCAAGCTCTTCAACAAGATCCGCATTATTCCCCACATCAGCCAGATTAACCTACCCTACACGGCAAGAACGACCCACATACCATACTACAGGAATCCAGCACGGGTACGTACCGACGAAGACGTCCAACCCGAATCTACACACACGCGCACTTACTGCCGCGCTACCATAGGATCGGGCCAGGGACATGGCGGAGAGGAACCTCTTCTACCTCGTTCCCCCGCAGGTGGGCCCACGAGGAACCGAAATGGACAACGTCGACCAGATCCACTGGGTCCTGTCCGCACAGGTGCAGAAAAGGGCAGATTTCCAAGACGCCGAGCATAAAGCAATCCACTCGCAGAGTCACGGCATCACGTACATCCTCCACGCGACAGACCAAAGCCGTAACGTCTTCGACCTGGACTAAGCGAGGCCCTACTCCTCCTGCTTTACTCGACCGGCACACTCGCCACCATGGGCTCCAAGGTCATGCGCCCACGCAGCGACAACCTACTCGTCAAGAGAAACAACCTGCACATGACGCCTCAGACCCAAGCAGGCCTTCACGCAGAGGAAGGGGACCCCAATGTCGAACTAGTCCCAATGATCGAGGTCACCGACGAGGAGCTCCACTACCTACAGAACTACAGGGCGATGCACAGGGAACCGATCAACCACTACAACGAGTTCCAGGAGACGTACGGAATCGTCAGCCGACGTCACCTACGACGAGGGAATCGCGGGCCATCGCGTCCCAACCAACCGGCTGCCACCGGCCAGGATTTCGAGACCGCCGCGCCGTAAACCAGACCCATGGGCAGAACCAGCTAGCACCCTTGTCTACGGATGCATGGAGACCCTGGTCGCCGACATCCACAACCTGATGTCGCACGTTACTCCCGACATCCGCCGAGAGGGCCTCCGCATGCTGGACAGACTGAGGACATCGACTACGGACACCTGGAAGACGACTACCAGGCCGAGATCCAGCTCAACGGGCTTGCAGCGCGTATCCCCACAAGCACCATCATCCCATTGCACAGCAATACTGATATTGTAAGACACGAGCGGCCAAGACGTGAGCAAGCTACCCCAGCGATCCCGAAGATAACCAGCATGGCAATCACGGCCCATCCGACCCACCGGGCGCCCAACCCGGCCCAGCCCTCGCCGCCGAGCAACCCGCCACCGCCCTTCTTCCCACCGGACTACCCGACCTGGAACGCGCATGCCCGCGCTGAAGCAATCCGACGCTCATTAGCACCCAACCATCGTCTACCATTAGCACCCAACCATTAGGAGGACTACCATTAGCACCCAACCATCGTCTACCATTAGCACCTGAAAGCACCGGAGGACCACCATTAGCACCCAACCATCGTCTACCATCACCAAAGCCATGGACCGCCTACAGGTGCGCGGACACCGGCTTCGTTTGGACCCACTAGGTGTACTACTTCAACCTGGACGCCAGAGGAAAAACGTGGAGAGTCCCAGGCAACGTGCTGCTGCAACTAGGCCGGAAGAGATCTCTTCCAGCCTACAATATTGAATGTTTTTACGATACGAAGCACATCATCATCCAGTACCCGCCGATGGCCACGCCCAGCAGGACGCAGCCACCACCGCCTCCGCCTTCTCCGACGTCCCCGAGGCAGCGGTCGCCATCACCGCAGGTTCCCTCGACTCTGTCATCGCGAAGTACCGCGACGCAAGCGATTCCAGGGCCATCGTAGACCGACTCAATGCAGCAGTTGGGTACATGAGCGAAAACGATGCGACTGACCTGAAGCGCTCCTACCCGACAGCGGCAGCCTCACGCAGCTACTCCCCTCCAGCCAAGACGACAACGCCGGCGCCAGGCAGGGGGGGCTTATGATCATCGCAGAGATCCACGCAGCATAGCCGCACTCCGCAACGATTGACCGCATGCATGCCGCAGCCTCAAGGAACAGTCAGCAAACTCCGACGATGACCACGCTACTGCCTGACCTTGTGGCCGCCCCGACTACGGAGAGCACGGCGTCCTCCAGCCACGAGGGAACAGACATCAGGAACGATGTACGTGCTCATCCCCCAACCCGCGAATCCGCTTGCAGCCCCGTCTTCCCCCGCCGCGCCCATCTAACCTTTTCAACGCCCTCATCTTATGGCGGGGGATGGGTGGGGCAGCATCATTCGGGGGGGGGGCGAACAAGGGAACCCGTCACAGGCCTGCGCGGCAATGGCCCGTGAGGCCGTGGTCAGACTGACCGCAAACCCACCACACGCCCGTTGCACGTATGCTCTTGCCTGCTGCAGGTACGCTCTGGCAGTGACCCCTCGTCCCGACTCCACCTGCTATCTTTCTTTGCAACCGTCGCAGCAGCCGCGACCACCGGTCTCCTACCACAGCCTACGGGGTGGGGTGGGGTGGGGGGGCAGATTTATGTGTGGTGGGGGGGGAACACACCGTTTGGGCCGTGCCACCGCCACGGAGGGCAGAAACCTCCCCCACGCGCGTGGACATCCCCCCAGAGGCCCCCGCCTCCGCGATCTGGGTACCCTACCCCTGCCTGGCCAGGGAGGGCACCAGTCGTGGCGCTGGGGGACGCTCCCGTGCAGTTCCCAATGCGCGGGGGGAGGGGCCCTCCTGCCCTCTCACCGGGCGAGCGTGGCTGGCCCCGCCGCCGCCGCTCTGCCGCCCGGGGCGTGCCCAGGCCTCCCTCGCGCTCGGGGGAGCCCTCCGAGGCGTCCCCGAGGGGGACGTGCCGCCGGGAGCCCTACGCCCGCCTGCAAGCGATGGGGTCTCGCAGTCGGCCTTGGGGGACGCTATAAGCAGGGGGAGAGGCCCTTGGAGACCCCCCTCCCTGCTGCTGGCGGCACCTCGGAGGGGCCCCGCAGAATCATCCCTGCAGCTGCGCTTCTCACTGGGCGCCGCCGTCCACGCACCACCTGCGCCTCCACCGCCTGCCCGTTTTATCTCTGCCAGGCACCCTCGCCACCTTTCAGTTCCCTGCCCCCCTGCGCAGTGCCTCGAGCCGCCCTGCCTCGCTACAGCGCCAGGCCTCCAACCGTCACCTCACGTGGCGGGAGTCCTCAATGGGCACCGCAGAAGAGGGAAACCCAGGGCACCCTCCAGGGCGCTGGCCCAATCGGGCCAGCAGACCCGACGTGAGGGGGACCCAGCACAGGCCCACGGGCCTCCCACCTGTTCACACTGCCACCGCCTCGCTGCAGCCTGCCATACTCTTCCATACCTTTCCCCTCCTCCATGTTATGCTGTGATGTTATGTTCCTTCCATTTTTCCCCCTCCTCCTGAACTGCGCTCTGGTCCTGTTTTTTTGGGGAGGGGGGGCGTTTTCGTCTACCCACCCAGAGAGGCCCGACCGGGCCTACTCTAGGGGAGATGACAACGTTTGAAGATTCCCATGCCGTCAGGAGCCAAGGAGGACGAGGGGGAGAAAGAGGACGAAGAGCGGTTGAGCGCCCTCCCTGCCGCGGCTCGCCCCTGGGGGCGAGCAAAAGCCACGAGCCATTTCGCCCTCGTGTCCAGCACCGGCTCCTCGAAGTGGAGCGGCGCAGTCGGGCTGTGGTGTCCTTTCCCATCCCTCCTCGTCCTGCCCCTCGTCCTCCTTCTCGTCCTCGTTGTCTTCCTCCTCGTCCTCCTCCTCCTCCTCCTCCTCCTCCTCTTCCTCCTCCTACTCCTCCTCCTCCTCGTCCCCCCCTTGCTCCTGCGCGCGCGTGCTGGCAGCAAGGGGTGCCGTAGCCATTTTATGTCAGGCCAGTCTAAAGTCCCGGCGTGGTCGCGGAAAGCTCGCCCAGGACGCCAGATTAACGAGCCATCCCAATCACAGGCTCGAGAGCGAAAGTTGGTGCATTGCGGGTGGAGGCTCACAGATACCCGGCGATGGGTTTTTCTTCAACCGGCTTCTTAAACACAATGGAGTTCGGCCCTCGGGAGCCGCTACCCGGTCCCAGGACCATCAAAGCTGACCTGGGGCGAAACATATCCCTGCGGGGAAGACCCCAGACATCTCGGGCCGCAGATTGAGACAAACATACAGGGTCCGACTTGAATCAGGGACACCTACTTTTCCAAAGGGTCTTGGTCGTTCCTCTGGTCTGCATTCGTTCCGCTACCTTCTTGGCGGCGAGCCCCCCCTGGTGTTCCCTCGTACTTCCTAGACTTACTTGGAACAAAAGGGTCTTTGTCCCTCAATTATCGTTCCTTAGGTCGGGCCGACTATACCGCATCCCTGCGGGGAAGATCCCGGACACCTCGGGCCGCAGATTGAGACAAACATGTCTGCGGACGTCCAGCTCGAGGTTCCCGGATGCGTCTGCCAGATCAGGGCGGCTATACCCAGCCCGAGGATGCCCTGTGGCCGCCTGCGCCTCGCTGGGAGGCGCCCTGAGGGGTGCCCAGATCGTCCCGAGCGGCCGCCGGGTGGAGGAGAGGGAGGAGAAGGAGGAGGAGGAGGAGGAGGAGGGAGAAGGAGGGAGGGAGGACGAAGAGGAGGAGGAGGAGGAGGAGGAGGGAGAAGGAGGAAGGGAGGCTCAGGAGTAGGAGGATGAGGAGGAGGAGGAGGAGGGAACAACTAGACTTCACCGCATTGACAGATTCCACGCGGAGGGTTTTCGCTGTGTCTCGGCTGCCGGCGGCCCCATCTGGCCCCCGCGGTCGTCACAAGAACGATTCAAGATGCAAGCGGTTGCCCTGGAGAGGGGCCGGGACTTCGCCCCCCCCCCCCCCCCCCCCCCCCCCCCCCGAGTCCCCCCCCCCCTTGAAACGATCAAGACGTCGGACCTCCGAGAAGGAGTGGCAGGGTGGGGCCGCGCGAGCGCGCCGCCCTTGGCTGCCTCACTGGCCTGGTGTGCCAATTATTCGGCCACTTGTGTTTGTGCCTAAGCCGGGCGTGCCCCTCTGCAGGCGGAATATCTGAAAATAAGAACAAAAATAGTCTGGGGACGATTCTCATATTTCCCTTATCAGTGCATGCACTGAAGGGGTCCTAGCGGATATTGGAAGAGAAGGCGAATGTTTTACGCCGATTTTGGTGGCAGGCCGGGTTCCGGGGTTCCGGGTTCCAGGTTCCTGGGTTCCGGGTTCCTGGGCCGATTTCGGTGGGCGGCGCGGTTCCCAGGTTCCCGGGGGTTCCAGGTTCCCGGGTTCCGGGTTCCTGGGCCGATTTCGGTGGGCGGCGCGGTTCCCAGGTTCCCGGGTTCCTGGTCGATCTTCTTATCGATCGGTTTCAGCATCGGTCTCGTTTCCCACCTCTCTAGCGATCTCACCATCGATCTCACAATCGATCTCACAATCGATCTCGCAAGCGATCTCACTAGAAATCGCACGAGCGATCTCCCGATCGATCTCCCTATCGATCTCATTGAATCGATTCCACTCTCGGTCTCACGATCGACCTTACAATCGTCAACTATCGATTCCACTATCGATCTCATTATCGATCTCACAATCGATCTCAATATCCATATGACGAATTTTAAACCATCCACTGATTGAGTTTTCTCAGGTGCAATTGGGTTGATTAGTTTGAGGTATTTTTGAATATGTTGTATTTGTCATCCAAAATCCGCCTGTCGGGGGCATGCCCGACCTAAGTTCATGCACAGCGTGCCGCATGAGGTGAGGCAGCGAACGCGGTCCGGCGCGCCGTGCCAAGGCAGGTTGTTGTTCTTTGGTATGGGCCACATTCCCGGCCTTGCTCAAAATCTCTAGATAGCGTGGCCCCCTTAGATGCGTCGCCCGCCAGGAGTGCAAGCCCACCCGCGGGGACCCCTCCAGGGAACCGAAGTCATCCGAATCGGTGGGGGGGTCTTCTCATCTTCTTCCTGGCTGCATGTCGCTCCACGACAACTTCCAGCAACACCATTCGGTGTTGGAGATGTGCAGCTCTCAGCGAAGGAACCACCGTCTCGAGGGCGGCATTAGCCTCGCCCCAGGAAGCCGCGCAACATCAGCGCCTTCCCTCGGGGAATACTTGCGTGCGCCGACCTAACGACAGCATCCAGGGCAACGGCAATGCCTCGAGCAGCTGCTGAAGGGCTTCGTCGCTCGTCTCCTCCTCATCTTCTTACCCAGCCATATGGTTTGAAGTTCTGATCTCCCCCTCGTCTTTCCTCCCCTTCTCCAGCCGCCCTCGTATCTCCTTCTCCCTCCCTCTTGGACCCCCCCTCATCCGTCCTCCCTCGTCTATTTTCCCGCCTCCTCATCGTTCCTCCCCCTTCAGCCCCGTCCTCGCCCAACAGGACGGTGACGGCGCCGCCGCCCTGCTTGCCTGCAAGAGCTGGTACATCTCTCCCTTGTTGCGGGCGCTTCAGACCGCGGCGTACGCCCTCGACGGCCTCAAGAGGCCGGGCTGGTTGAAACAATGGGATCACCTCGGGCCCATGGCGGTGGCAACGTATCCGAGGTGGAGACAGGGGGGAGGGGCGGAAGGGGAGAAGGAACAGTGAGGATGGAGGAGGGGGGGGACGGTGGAAGGGAGAGATGGGGGGCTGGAGGAGGGCGGCGGGGAGAGGAGCAGGAGCGGCTACCCGAATTCAGTCAGCGATCGCGTCCTCCCCCTCACCCCTGGCTCCTCCTCCTCCTCCTCCTCCTACTCCTCCTCCTCCTCCTCCTCTTCCCTACCACCTCGTCGTCAGTACCATACCATATCTCCTCCTCCTTCGCCCTGTTCATCCCCCCCATTGCCCTCTCCCCCCCTCCTACCTCCACGTCCTCCGCCTCCGCTATCGTCTCTTGCCTTTTCCTCCACCCCATTGCCCTTCCCACCCCTGCCTGATCCTCGTCCTCCTCCTCCGCCTCCTCCTCCTCCTCATCCTCTTCCCGCCTCCAGCTGCGTCCTCCGCCCTTCGCTCTCCCCCGCTCCGTCTGTCCCCCACGCCGCCTCCTGCCGCCTCCGCCCGCTCCGCCTTTCCGCCGTCGGCGCGTCGTCGTCGTCGTCGTCGTCGTCGTCGTCGTCGTCGTCGTCGTCGTCGTCGTCGTCGTCGTCCGTCGTCGCTGCGCTCGCTCGCTGGTCGTCCTCATCCGCGCCGTCGCCGTTCGTTGTCGCCGTGGTGTCGGTGGCTGTTGCTTTTTCTCCTCTCCGCCAGGGCCTCGGGCCCTCCCGGGGCGCCCGCGAGGCGACCTCTTCTGCCCCAGGAGTGTGAGTCGCCGTCGGCGCGGACGGGCCGAGTCTGGCTTGGGAGCCACCGTCGAGGAGGAGGAGGAGGAGGAGGAGGAGGAGGGGGAGGAGGAGGAGGAGGAGGAGGAGGAGGAGGAGGAGGAGGAGGAGCTGGAGGATGGTCCTCCTCATCCTCAGTAGGCCTTCAGGGCCGCCTTCCGTCGCCACAGCTGGATCCGCTTCGAAATCCTTGTCAGAACGAGCTCCAGGAGAGGCCCCGGGGTCAGTCTCGTGGAGAGGGGGCGGGGTGGAAGATGACTAAGCGGGGCTGCGCGCAAAGGACGTCAGGGACTCCATGAGCGCAGTAGTGGCGTCTGACCGACTCCTAACCCCAGTCCGAAGAGACAAGCCTGGCCAACTGAGGGCTCGCCATGGTCTGTCAACACTCCAGGCCGCCGTCCGGAGAATCTGGCGATGCTCAGAGGGAAACTGTTGGACCCCCGATTCAGACGGGCGCCCTCAGCAGCCCAGGCAAGCTCTCACCACTAGGGCCTTGCGCATCCGCATTTTTGAATACACACACATATGTATATATATATATATATATATATGTACATTTATGGATTCCTCAAGGCCTGGAACTCGCATTTGTTGTTATTCCTCAAGGCCTGGTAGTCGCAAGTGTGTATATATACATATAACGGCGCACCGGGTCCGGGGGCCCGGGGCCGGGACCTCGACCACAAATGTGGGCCCTGGGGGCCCCGGAGGCTCGTCGGGGCTTGCCAGAGGCCTCCCCGGTCAGACAAGACGGCCCAAGAAGCGCCCAAGACGGCCCAAGAAATTTCCAAGAGGCCTCCAAGAGGGCTGTAAGATGCTGAAGATGGCCTCCAGACGTCCAAGGACGCCCCCAAGACGCCCCAAGAAGCCTCCAACATGCGTCCCAAGAGGGCCCCTAGACGCAAAAATTGGCCCATTCCCTTCGTAAAACGTACATTTTTCACAAAGTCGCCTTTTGGGCTTTCCGACGTTACAGGACGGCCCAAGAGGCGCCCAAGACCGCCCCAAGACGGCCCAAGAAGCTTCCAAGAGGGCCCCAGGACAGCCCAAGAGGGCCCCAAGACGGCCCAAGAGGCGCCCAAGATGGCCCAAGAGGGCCCCAAGACGGGCCCAAGAGGGGGCCCAGAGGGGGACCACGAACCGCAAGCTCGAGCCTTCCGCCCCAAGAGGCCGCCAGGAGGCCCCAAGGAGACCCCTCAAGAGGCCCCAGACCCCCAAGAGGCCCAAAGGAGGCCCCGAGAAGCCCCAAATCGGCTCCCAAAATGCTTCGAACCTGCTTCCAGGAGGCCCCAGACAGGTTCAGAGGCTCCCGAGAAGCTACGTCAAACTCCCAGCGAGCGGCCGGACGAGGCCCCCCACAAAATCACAAGAGGGTTCCAGTATTTGTATCCTTCAGCGCTCTCTGGCCTTCTTCCCCTTGCCCCCTTCCCTGCGACTTTCGTTGACTCAAGCTCGCCTCCTAGCTAGAACCTAAGCGCGCGCGAAGCGCGCGCGTGGTTCTAGTGTTTTTCATATGCGATTTTGCGGCCTTCACGGATTTGAAGACGGCCCACGAGGCTCCCAAGATTTGCCCAAGAGAGCCTAAGACATTCCGAAGAGGCCCTCAAGACGGCCCACGAGAGGGCCAAGACGGCCCAAGGGCTGCCCAAGACTGCCCAAGTTAGCCCCAAAACGGGCCCCAAGAAGGCCCAAGAAGGCCCCGAGTCGCTCAAGACTGCCCAAGATGGCCCCAAGAAGGTCCAAGAAGGCTCCGAGACGTCCCAAGAGGCCTCCAAGAGCACTCCCAACAGGATCCCTTGAGACCAAATTCGTTACATTCCTCAAGGCAAACCGTACATTTTAAGCATATACGAATTTTGGAGCCTTCACGGCTTTGACGAGGGTCCAAGAGGCCGCCAACACTTCCCCAAGCGAACCGAAGACGCTCCCAAGAGGCCCCCACGGTAGCCCAAGAGTCCGCCAAGACGGCCCAGGGGCCGACTAAGACGGCTCCAGGAGGGGTCCAAGACCTCCTAGGAGGCCTCTTGACTGAGCAGGGGTGTAGGGTGCCCGGTCGTTTGTCATCCTGAGCCGTTCTCAT